CTTTGTCTCCTAAACACGTAGATTAATAAATTCACTTCTCCATATAGATATAGTCTATTTATATAGGTATATACGTCATTTAGCTTTAAATATTTTTTTAATAAATAACATTTTTTAAATAGCTTTATCAGAAGTTCTCCCTCTTTGGTTACCTACTGCCCCTTGTTGTCCTGTAGGCAATAAAATATACTTTTTTTCTGTGAAACCTCCTCTCCGACAGGTTTTCGAGGAAAAGACAGTAAACTCAGTAAGTCAGCAGTGAGGAAGACATGCAGGAGGTGGGGGAGGAGGAGGAGAGAGGAAGAGAGGGAAGAAGCATACATGGACAAAATAACACAGCTAACACAAACAGCACATGCAAGTCTGCTACCTGGCCACTGCTTATTCCTCTAAGTCACTGGCTTATAACAATACAGCAGCAAAAGGCCTGGAAAGAGTAAAACTAAGCCAAATATTACAGCACTGATTGAGGCAGACAGATTTTTATTGGCTTCAGCATGTCTTAAATCCTACAGAACGTCTTATAGAACGCAAACTGTCCTTAACTGGCCTGGTAAAGGGATACTGCAGTGATTTTACACTTAAACTGCCTGCAGCAGCTGTATTGTGTAGTGATTTAAACGCTTTCCTTCAGAAATGAACTGAAAACCTGTTAAGTCAATGGGCATTTGCTGAAATCTGTCAGTAAATGTTTGTCTTTGTAAAACATCTTCATGAATTGTTCAGTCCAAATTTGCATAATTGATTCTTTCAGACATGGGACTAGTATTTCAGTGGGAAGAATTTGCATGGTGGCATGGGCCTGATTACCATGGATACCAGAAGAGTCTGAAAGTTAGATAAAACGTCAAAAAAAAAGTTTTGAGACACAGGCTTTAATTCTTCAGTTGCGTAAAAAGGAGTGCAGATTTAATGTCATATGAACTGCTCTGTATCTGGTTGGTGAAACTAACGGACAACGTGGAAATGAGCAGAGATTTGAGTGCATTCAGCTTTAGTACGTGAAATCAAGCGCCAGTCTACCAACCCCTCATTTACATAACATTTAAATACATTAAATACATGAAGCATGGCCTAATTCATGCAGATGTTTACAATAAAGTGGGAGCATTCAGCAGCTTTTGAGCCAGTGGCTGTGTTGGTAGGTGGAGTTTGAGGTGAAGCGGTGAGTGCACTGCTCCCCCCTACTGACCAAACTTTACAGTGTTAAGATCACAACCACTGGAAAGAATGACATGTGAAATATACAAAATATCTTTGTTTTTAAGACGGTAGAATGATGTGTTCATGTAAAATAACTTATTTAAATACTATATTATTGCAGTGTATGACACTAGCTGTGTTATGGGTTGTTAATGTTTTGGCCAGAGTCAGTAGTATGTAAAACGTGTAATATATCTTTAATATCTAAAGGAACAATTGGTTGGAGTAAAATAAGTACATCCACTTCTGCACAGATTATTAGTATTATTATTTTCTATTTTTATTCTTATTATTGGTGTTATAGATGATTGGTCATAGTTTTGATTAGTGAAGCACAAATCAAGTATTTGTTAAACTATTACACTCCTACCAGACATAAGTTTCATCATACATGCTCATTTTACGATCAGATTGGCAACTTTATGAATAAGGTCCAATGTGTGAGTCTCAACTTCATATTCACCTTTTATATGAACATATTTCAAACTATTTTAACAGCAACTGCCCATTGACTTCTGTTGGTGCTTTTCCACCACATAGTATGGCTCAACTCGACTCAACATGCTTTTGGTACCAACTACTTCGTTTTCCACTGCAGATATAGTGCCCTCTCAATGTAGCTGGTTGTCATAGAACCACATGAAACTGCCGTGACATGAAGGAGACAACTGTTGTTCAGAACAGGCTGATGGCAGATAGTGATGTTTCTTTTTGACCAATCAGCAGTCTGCAGTTTTTCCACGTCACTTTTTAGTATCGGCTCAGCTAGCTTGGAGCCTTGATGGAGGTGATGCCAAAAACGGAGAACTAAAATAGAGGAGTTGGGTCAAAATGGTACCATGTGGTGCAATAGCAGCTTGTTATCAATGAGTAGCTAGTAAACAGGTTTTCTGTTCTTTTCTAAGTACATTGAAGCACATTAACCCTTTAAAATCTCAGGCTTATTACATACTAAGCTTATTAATCAGTAACTACAGGGACTTTAATGCAAACTAGCTGAACTATTCTTAGGTTATAGAAGTGTGTAGTAACACTTTGGGCCTGCCCTGGACATTTAAGAGGTTAAAGTTATTGTCAGTTATGCCTGACTGTATGATACAGAAGCAGATGAATAGTTAGGCTGAGATTAGGCTGGAATATTCCTTTAATTCATTTGCGACCCTATCCTAGGTTTGGGCCCCTTTAGCACTCGGGTACATGAGTAGGGATGAATAAATAAAAAGGCTGTTTCGTTCGTCCATAGAGCCTCTGGCGCCTGTCTAAGAAATCTGCTCCTTTTTCCTGAGGGGACGGCAGACATTTAAAGAAGGCATTTCCTATAGAGAGCACACCGGTTCTCGGCTCAAATCTTTTTCAGTTTCTGCTGTCTATCTCAGTAGACCAGGCCACCATCCACTAAGACTGGATGGCTGGTTAAGTATTAATGAAAGCAGTTAGCTACGCACATCTATACGCACACACACATACACACACACATACAGCATACAGAGAGAAGAAGCATTTTTGTGGTACTAAATACTGAAGCTATATATATATTTATATATTTCAAAGTATATATATATTTTTTTTCTTTTCTTTTGACACCTCATTGTCTTTTTGAGTGCTTTGTACTTTCGGAGGCTATTCGTGAAAGATGACTGCGGGTCAAACTTCATTTCACAGCTATGAAGAAGCATGCGGCGAGTCCAGGCACACTCGTAAATCTCAGCGTTCCACCTCCACCAAATCGCTTTCTTAGCACCCATCCCGTCTTCCGTTAACTCGCCGGACCCCCTCGTTTATTGAAGCGCCTCTGGCACTAGCCATCAAGGCCTGTTTTTAATCAAGGCCTGTTTTTTTTTACTGTGGAGGTGATTGCACTTTTAAATTGTGTGATATTATGCCAATAGTCTTTCTGATTGCTTTAGAATGAATGCGAGGCTTTGATCGGTTATGGCTCAAAAAGGAATGCTTGATTAGTTGCCCACAGCATTATCACATAAGCGCTCTATCAGTGACGGTATTTACGTGTGATGTTTTCCAAACGTCTGGAAGCTAAAAAAACGGTCATATTTTTTCATCCTGACCTTCTGAGGTGTCAGAGATTTCAGCACGCTTTCTCCATGGCTATATAGGATCTAAATAAGTTCTTAAAGGGAAACATACACGTGAATAACAATAACAGGCTTCGGTCAAGTCTTCGGAGGAGAAAACACCAACACCTTCACATCAAAGCCATGTTATTATCGCAGTAAGCCTTAGGAGTTAGATAGCAGAGTCGTATCACGCCACGATCAATCTCTCAGATGTTTTCTCTCCTTCCCTTCGCTGCAGTGGAAGTAAAAAAATCCAATTTCGAGTTTCCACAGTCCGAACCCACATCTGCGGAAATAAGGCCGATGAAATCGAGTATACCTGAGACCCTGTTTCATGAAGAGAGAGACGCTGACGAGACGAGAGACGAAAAGAAGCAAAATGGTCCCCGAACATCTTTCACAGGCTTCCACACGAAGAAAGTCATTTTTCTCTAATATATGGAGCTACAGAGACTGTTTAAGACATCGTATGGAGTCGACAACACTAGTACACAGTTCAACTAAGCACAGATTCATATTACCGCTCTCTAAAATATTACAGGATGAAACAGCCTCACAGTGGACAAGACACACATTCCACACATATGTCTCTCAGTATACATATACACATAGATATCCTTCTTCGTGCCCTATCGTGGTGTAAGAGTAAGTTAAGGGGATTCATGAAAAGGTCACAACACATAGTCGAAAGCTCTAAGCATTCTTAATAAGTTTAGCATCCTAAAGTCCGAAAGGTAACATTACAGTTTTGCATGGCTACTCAGAGAGAAATGGGTCTGCGCTACTGCGTCCTGAAGCTTGTGCTTCTAAGCTACGAGGATATTGGAGAGATTATGTAACTGAGCAATCAATAAATAGAGAGTGAAACACAGTAGAAGAGCTCCTAGCTTACAGAGAGATACAGTGTGTGCTTCATGTATAGCAGGTTTTAGGCTAGAGCTGTGCTATGCAATACTACACTGATAGAGGAAGTCAGAGGCACAAAGTACAGGATAGAAGAAGATACAGGTAAAGAGCGGAAATCACCTTCTCCAGGCTCCGCCCACACCGCATTCTGTCGTAGCTACTGTCTACTGTGAGGTTGTAAAAGCCTTAAAGACACACTGGGATTTGTACTGCCGCTCTGTAAAGCTCACAACAGTAGCTATGAAATTCAGCGCTTGTGGGCGGAGCCTGGGCAGGATAATTAGGTTTTGAATATAAATTAGAGACTAGCTGCAAGGCAGTCTTTCTCTCTCTTTATGGCCATCACGAAGGCAGAAATGACAGGTGCTCTTCTGAATGCATTAGCAACATCGACGCCAGTAAAATAGTCAAAGTGTAGAAATAAATAAAGTCAGATTCATTCGTGAGCGCAATATTGCTTTGACGTTCACAACTGTGTCAGATAATGGTGCTTCCATACTGCGACTATAAAGGAAAGTCCAGTTTTGGGGTCCACTTGACCTCCATGTTGAGACCGATGGTGAGTTTTCACCCAGGAAAAAACAAATCGGGCCACGAAAAAAGGCTGAGAGAGGAGGATGGTAAAACAATGTGTCCTGCCATCCTTGTGGTGCCTGTTTCGGGGTATGAGTATGGTCAGGTTTCCATTACTGTTCAAGAGCAATACCTGCACTCTAAAATAAACAAAACTTTTTCTTGTTTTGCATTAGAGAGCGCCAGTTTTACTCTTAGATCTCGGTACCCTGCACCTATAAATCAATTACTTAAGGAATAGCCATCATGCTAATGTTGTTAACAATGAAGCTGTTAGCACAATTGTAGGCTATGCACTTTCATTCATTGTTAGCAACATTAGCCTTATTGATCAAACCATTCCATTAAGTCATGTGATTGGCACCACTTCCATCCCCTGTTTTCATGTTACTGGTACTGGGTGGAGAGCTGGAAGTCTTTGGGCGGAAGTTTGAGCCCCAGTGAGCTCGTGCCCAGCGGGTCGATCATGTTCTTGTATCGCTCACCACGGTGCTTCATCAGGAAAGGACCCCAGTCAGGCTGAGGAGAGCAAACCAACTTCAGACGCTAAGGAAAGATAGAGAGAAAATATAGTAAACATACTGTAGCGTGTTCAGTAATGTGTGCATGTTAATTCTAGGTTATGTGATCTACAGCATTTATTTGTTGGGTTTTTCCATAAGGACTTTTATTGTGAAGGCCGGGCTGCCCGGAGCTGTGTTCTGTTAGATTAGGAAGTACTGAGTTGGTCTAAAGGCCAATTTATGCTTCTGCGTCGAATCTGAGTAGCCTGATGTGCACCTCCCCAGAAATGTAACTACACATCACGGCGACGCAGACTGCCATGATTGTGATTGGTCCACTTGGTAGCATTGCAATTCCGGCTTCTCATTATTTGCCACCATTTTTAAATTCAGTTGAAAGTTGGATGAACATGGATCAAGTTGAGGAGAGATTAACCAACTAACTGGTGCTATCATGAGTATAGATGATAAAAACTTATAACAGCGAGAACAAAGTGGACTGATCGGTGTTGGAGTGACAGAAAGCCAAAATCAAACCTGTTCTGTAGTGTTTTAAGCTGTAGCATGCTAGGCTAAGCTAACGAGAGTGTACCAAATCTCCCACCACAGTACAGGCTTGGTTCCAGCCAGTTAATGCTTAAAAAACGTTTAGAGGATAAAGACTCGTATCTGAGAGCACAAATTCAAATGCCTGGTGGCGTTGACTCTGCATTGATTTAGCAATGCCATAACGCTGAAGTCTAAGACATAGCAAGGCTGAGAGCAAAATCTCTCACATACGGCATGGCTGTGGCCAACTACAGCCTGTTAATAAAGCACAACTTGTGCATATACTAGGTCTTCTTTAATAGCAGTGAACGCAATAACACTTACATTTAAGAAACAGAAACAGCTATTTTTCCCTCTTACCCCAAATGTAACTGATCAACCAAGACAGGTCTGCTGTCTGAAGTTTATTTGTTTAGTTTTAGCGCTGCAGCTAAGGTGGTAATGTAACTGACAAACAATGGAGTCTAATACTCCACCATTTAGCATGGTTATAACTGCATGTCTAAATCATCACGCCTCCAGCCGTGTAGAGTTGTTCAGGGTTTTGGTGTACTGGGAGGGCTTTTGGTTGTACTGGGAGGAGTTTCGGTTGTAGTGGGAGGAGTTTTGATTGTGCTGGGAGGGGTTTCAGTTGTTCTGGGAGGTGTTTTGGTTGTACTGGAAGGGGTTTGTGTTGTACTGGGAGGAGTTTCGGTTGTACTAGGAGGGGTTTTGGTTGTTCTGGGAGGAGTTTGGGTTGTACTTGGTTGTCGAATGTGTCTTGGTGAAACGAACGTGTTTACACTGCTATAACATGGCTGAAATGTATCTCAACCCACCTCCTGAAGCGGTTTGAGGGATCCGATTTGTATCTATTTTAAATGCGACTTGCATTTTTATGTGGCCTCATCCAGACAGAATCCTGATAATCAAGACGCATGTGTAAACAGGGTCTGATAGAATTGATTATGTGGCTTCTGATGTTGTATGACTCATTGGTATCTAGAAACATGGACTAAAGTACAGTGCACTTTTGTACAGTTTGACACCAACATTTTGCATTTTAATTTAAAATAGAAATAAGTGCAGCTATAATTCAGGTTTGAAGATGCTACTGTTTAAGCCATGTGACATTACCTTTTTTTTTTACTTCTTAGCTAGATTAGCCTGGAAGCTCAGTGCTAAGCTAAAGGAAAAGAAAAGACTAAACATAAAGAGGGGATTGCGCTAAGGAAGAACATATCGTTGTTAACCTCACTTGTCCAGCCTTTGTAGGTTTTGCCTGCTATAGCACCCCCTTGTAGCTACACTTAGACTGCATCTTATGATTGCACTGCATTATGAAATTTTACGTGTCACATTTCAGAATCCAGCAAAATGAAATTGATTTTGCATTCTCATATTTGTGTGGTGTGCGTCATTAAACATATTTAACAAAGGAAGGAGAGCCGGTTTACTGCTCCCACAGTCTGACTGTCACTAAAAATCTACCTCGATCAAAGTTCCCGGCGCCAGGTGCATCTTGATAACAAACATGATGGGGATCCAGATAACGGAGCAGATGACCATCAGCCAGCCCAGAACCATGGACCAGGTGGGGTAGGTGTAGTCCTCATAGGTCATGACCTTCCACTGGTACAGACTGAGCGCCAGGATAAACTGTAGAAAGAGAAAAAGTAGGAAGAGATACAGAAATACTTTTAAATGTCTTAAAACACAGTTATTTAAATACAACAGAACCCCTGAAGTTCTGTAGATAGATTTAATTATTTTTTATTTACAAGTAAATAAACAAAAAAATATAAATCTGTTCGCTTTGTACTATTTTTTATGGGTTTTTTGTCTTTTTCTATACATTTTTTAAACTTCCCATCCAATTACACTCTTAAAAATGGTTATTCAAGGGTTCTTGAGTAAAGGGACTGGTTCTATTTAGAACCATGAGTTCTAAGTGAAACCATTTCATGCTTAAATGGTTCTTTGAATGGTGAAATGGTTCTTCAGATTGATGTAGAATGTGTTGCATGTGATTCTATATAAAACCTTTTTGGAAATGGCCCAGTAAAGCCCCAAAAAGGTTCCATTTTTTTTCTATTTTTACAAGCTTCAAATTGTAACATGGAAGAACCCTTCTGGGTGCTATATAGAACATATTCTACATAATTTTAGACCATTTGCCATGAAATTTTAATGTTGTAAACAGCAGCTGGCTTTTTCAAATTCTTTGAAAATTTAGGATTTGGGGATTTGGCCCTCTCTGGTGGAAATATGTAATTGCACACAATGTGCAGAAGTACATTTTGTATTATCAGTTGTGTTTTGAACCCCCAAAGGCTGATGAACCTGACTTTTGCGAGGCTGAAAGAGAATTCAAAGAGAACTCAGTCTAAACTTGGTGAAAGACGCATCTTCTGAGGATATGAGTGAATTATCTACTATTGTCATCATATCTTCATCTGTATAATGCTGATTTTGAGATCACTTGAGACCAAAACATTGAGCCAGACCTTCTTTTTGAAGCTGTGTGTGTGACGTTAATATGGAAAGATGTGCGACGTGGTGTGAAAAATTTGCAGCAGCGCACACTCACCGTATTTTAGCCTGTTTTTATTCTCCTCACTCAGTAATGACATGTTTTTCGGTTTTAACAGCAAATATCTTACATAGTGCATCTTAAAAAAAAATAAAAAACTGTAATTGTTTCCCAACAGCGATGATATGCAGGAATATGGATTTTAAACTTTAATATGCAAGTCTTTTGGCCTACATAAAAAGGTTGCGCCACCGCCTGAGAGGCCCTCGTTCCTCAGTGCATGGTCAGAGAGAAAAGGAGAAAAAAGAGAAGAGGAAAGCTATCGGCATTTGCCTGTGTTGTATTCTGCGCCCCCTGGGGTTAGGATCAGTCCCCGGAGAGGATGCTGGTCAGTGGGTGATAACACTGATCTATGAGAGTGTCACAAATGTCATTTTCCAGCAGGGCTTCCCCAGCTTTGGCTATTACTGGGTAAAGCTGAACATGTGTCAAGCAGCAAAGGCCACATAACCTGCCATTTGTGGGGCGTGAGTGGGAGCGCCACTGTGATTTCTTGCCCATAAACAGTGGAAAATTTCAGGTGCAACTCGGTGGCAGTGTTACAGCAGACAATTTCTGCTCAGTCTGAGAAAACAAGGTGTTTTGTTTGTTTTTCTAACACGTAAACTTATTTTTGTCAGTCAATTTCAAATCCCCAGTTTGAGGGGTTGAGGAAGCTTTCAAAAAAGCCTATTAAGTATGAATTGGACATACCGTGAGAATAGTAGGAGTGACAAAGGCCCAGCAAATCCTCCAGAACTTGTTTGGCTGGAAACCAATCATCATTTCAATGTCCTCACAAAACCGCTGCAGACCTACAGTGTGGAGCAAAAGAGACACAGAGAGAGAGAAAGCAAGAAAGAGAAGGAAATATTGACTGAGTGGAGCATAAATATGCAGAAGGAAAGAAAGAAAAGCATAAAAGGAACCAATAAATGGAAAAGGGAAAAGGAATTAGGGCAGAGCAAGAAAAAAAAATGCAGTGATGAAGGTCATTCATTGGAAAAAATCAGCCAGGAAAAGGCATTGCAGTGTTTACACTTCAAGCAGTTTTAAATATATTATCAATTCACTTCTTATTTGAACAGAGCTCAGAATGTTTGAAAACACTGTATAGCAAGGATTTTAGAACAAAATTAATATCCAGAATGCCTCATATTATTCAAATGCAATGGTTTTTCATAAGTGTCAATCTAACCTGCATGAGACTTACTATTCAACAAATCTTTCTACAGTTCTATAGGTTAGTGTTAACTGACTAGTGCTGAATTCAGAGAGAAGTCTGCTAAAACTGGAATGACAAAAGCACCATCTAGTGGCCACAGAGGGAAGTGCAGAGTTTTAATCAAGTGACACTGTACAGATTTATTAAAAACAACACTGAGGGATGACTTCTTGGTCATTGATGAAGTCCAATCTTCGACTATACTGCCATGTCAATGGTGAGTGTCTGTTGGAAATGCTTGTTTTAGACTTAATCTGGGTCTGGGAGACTAGCCTTTTCTGTTATTTCTAACTAGGGCTGGGTAATAAGACAATATATATTGTTATTGTGATAAATTATGTCACAATACAATACAATATGCTTTTCTGAACATATTGTGCATATTGTCAGTGCTTATAGACACTGACCAACTGCATGTTTCATTATAAAGAGAGCAAAATTTGCACTGTTAAACTGGATTTAGTGCCAAATATTGAATAAAAATCAGTGTTTACAGTTTTTGATAGTATTTTTCAAAATGTAGCACTACATTTCTCTGTTCCAGCTGATTAGATGTCTGAAAAAAAAAATATCATGACATCTCATGCAAATTTCTTTAAGTTTTGCAATGTTGCAATTGCCCACCTCTACTCCTAACCCAACCAAAATATTAACTAATTGAACACGGATCTCAATTTCAATATGTGAGTTTTATTGCATACAAAATGGGCTAAAACAGTGATAACACAGAATGTGTTGCCAGTTAACATTTTGTTTGTGAATGTGCACCCACTGCTGAGAAAGCAGGTGAAAAACAGTAATCTATGCGTTCTGACTGAACTCCCTTTGGAATTGATTAAGGAGCATTTATTGAGGTTGCTGCCGTCAAGTTCTAAATGAGCTAATGTTTTTCATGAAATGGTGAAATGTCTCACTTTCAACATCTGATTTATGGTGTTCTATGTTTTATTGTGAATAAAATATGGGTCTATGAGAGTTGCAAATCATTGCATTCTGTTTTTATTTACATTTATGTACATTTTACATAGCTTCCCGATGTTTTTGGAATTGGGTTTGTGCATGCATGTGTTGTAGGTTCCCTTATACAGTGCTGAGCTGTCTAATCATTAGACTGTGTGATCTGTAGAGAATGTAGCCTAAATTAATCATTTCTATAGCCTGTTTATATGAAATGTTGTTCTTAAAGTATTTATTAAAGCACTGAAAAAGTGATGTATTTCATTTACTTTATTTAAACACATAATTTTCTCATGAAGGACTAAAACATGTTACATCAACACAGTTTTGTCCTTCAGTTTACTGTCGGTTTTATTCATTCATTTATTCATGCGGAAATGATGGACAGGTTTTCTTAGCAGTGTGCCCCCACTCTCCCCAATAAAATCTCTGGATCTTAGCTGGCCACCTCATGCTATAAGTTCTAGCTACACCCATGGTGCCCAACATATTTCAAATACAATACATATTATCTTATTTAAGTGTGCACTATATGAGCAACTACTGAACAGAACTACTAGCGTTAATGAGCTCACCATAGACGTACGAGACTCCAATCAGCTCAAATATTGCGATGATGACCAGGGAATAGGAGGCTGCGTAAGTGTCCACCAGCTGGAGCATGTACATACCGCTCTGTAAAACATACACAGGGTCATAATTTACTTTACATCAGCACAAACATGCATATTACACCAGGGAATATATGTAAGCTGAGGTTGACTTTCTGGCTATACATTGTTTTATATGTTATTTATTCTCACAATATGGCTTTTGTTGGTTAAATTAAATATCTAATATGAAGAAAATATGATTAAAGACATTGGTTGACCCCTAAAAGCTGTGGTTGCGTACAGGGGCAGATTTAGTGCTTCTAGGCGAAAGAGAGGAACAGGGCCCCTGAATGTGCATATTTATATTACTGACTTACTGTCTACACTGCAAAAAACACATCTTGTCAAATGGAATCATTTTAAATCTAGTTTAAATCTAATATGTCTCACTTTGAGATTGCTGTAAAAATATCATAAGATTATTTAGCTTATTTCTAGACATTTTTTACTAAGTGATATTATCTCACTGTTTTGTTAGATCCTTTTGCCCATTTTAAGTAATAATGCAAAAGTGTCTGCCAGTATGGAGAGGTAATCTGGTACCCGGGAAGGTAGAAGTACTGTAATGAGCAGTAAGATTACTTTTTCCAGGAAGTAATAAGTAATGTAATCCCAGTGCATAAGTAATTAGTAATTAGTAATGGTCATACAGTACTTTTTTGCGTACTCTAACACATGAGCTACAGTAACACTAGCATTATGTACAGTATGGTGAGCCTGTACACTGCAAAGTTTTGCTGTCCTCCTCTTTTTTTCACTTCTTTGCATTTGTATAACTTCATTAGATTTTCTCTCTCAACTCCCTATCGCCTTATTCATACCACTCTGCATTCACACAGTTGTGTCATCATGTAACAACATGGAATAGCCCTTTATAACCATGATTATAATTGCTACACTTGCAGATAACAATTATTCTTAAAATGTATATATATTTTGAAATAGGTCACTTAACAGTAATATGTACAGTACATCTAATTTGATCCTCATGAGGCCCTTGGTCACTGCCTACAGTTGCCTAGTGCAAACCCATATGAAAAAAAAATATATTCCAAATGTTTTTATCAAATATATTTTTGCAATGTATGAAAATGGCAAGAAATGTATGTGTTAAATGCATTTTCATCAATACCTACAACACTTGCTTTTGTCATGTTACAGGTTAATTTTTAAAATTAAGATACTAAAATACAAATTCATTTCAAAAGGTATCAAACAGCTACTGGCTCCCGAGTGGTGCAACCGTCTAAGCGTTGGCCCTATCATCAGGAGATCGCGAGTTCGATCCCTGGTGATGCTACAGCCATCCGTAACCAGGAATCCAAGAGAGCGCAACTGGCCTCGCTCTCTCTGGGAGCGCCTGCGCTGACTAGCATCACTTAACGCGATGCTAGACAGCGCAGGCGTCTGTTAGCTGACGTAACGGATCTGGCGGTTTGCGCTTTCCTCCGAGCGCGTTCAGCTGTCCAATGACGTTGCGTGAGCGGCAGTTGGAAAAGAAGCGGTGGCTGGCTTCACAGGTCTCGGAGGAAGCCTGCGTTAGCCTTCGCCCTCCTAGCGTTGACAGTATCGTGTGATTGGGGGAGTCCTAACTAGCGGGTGGAATTGGCGACGACTAAATTGGGGAGAAAATTGGGTTAGAATCCAAAAAATTAAAAAATGAAATAAACGTATCAAACAGTAAAGTGCATTAGACGGGATTTTGGATATTTTCATACATTCATACATTTATTTTTGTACAGTTCATTTCTATGTGTAATATTTGTGTTGTTTTACTTTTCCTCAACCAGAAACACTCTTTGTGAACTTTAAATGAGGTTTCAATTTTGTTATTTGAGTCTTTGAGTTTGTCCCACATAACTCCATAAGAAGAAAAGAGAATGAGGACCGGCTGGAGCATATTTAATCATAATTAACAGCAGAAAACATCCTGTGTCACAGTCTGCCACAGATCGTCCAGCCGGCTCCGAAGGCCTCTACATAATTAATCCTGCGAATTCCCTACCGGGGTTCACTCCTAAAAAGATTTCCTCTTACATTTAGTTTAATTATCTCTGACTCGTAGTTCGCTGGAACGAGTGAAGAAACTGTGTGGAAAGTGCACATTCTAATTTTTTCTATCCAGATCAGATTAGTGTCTGTTAGTAGAAAATGAAATATTTTATCATTACCTGAATTTGAATCATTTAGTGACAACAAAACAAACAGAATAAATTCACGAACTCGAACCTGTCCAGACAAAATGGAAAATAAACGTAAACGAAATTCATTACACTACCTCTCGAACGTTTGGAGTCACTGACACGTGTAAAATGATTCTACGATGAAACTAATTCTCATAACTGTTTGTATGAAGTTGTAGAAACATATTTTCACTGAGGAAATCAACAACAACATGGAATTAGAGCAGGGTGTTCAAACTTTTGCATGCCACTGTTTGTCATGCTGAGACTACAGAACTGCAGACTGGACTGTGGAATTGTGCTGAGACACTCAGTCCATGTTTATAGTGAATCAGTGAGTCAAACAGTGTCAAAAAAACACATATTCAAGTCTATTAGAGATACTGAGCAGACTGAGGCGTGTGTGATGATTTAGTCCTGCAGGTAGTATAACAAAGTCCTTACAGGAAAGTCTGTCCACTCAGCAGTCGTCTTTGCAATGCTGCAGTTATTTTGAGCCATACAAGACCAGACTCCTCTCTGTTTCAATGAGGCCAAATACTCAAAACTGAAGGTCAAAGTACCGTTTTAAAAACACATTTGAAATCACTGATAAAATCGGACAAAAACCTCATAAATAGTTTGTAGCGTTTGGCTTAGTAACGCACAAAAATGTTCTGGCTACTGTGCTTGTGTAGATCTCCACAACGAGGGGGGCTTTCTCCGCTTGCGCCACAATAGCATCCACCCTTCTCTGCGCACACCGTAACCAGCTAGATCAGGGGTCACAACCAAAATGTTAAGAAGAGCCATTTTGTCCTTTCAACAAATATCAAACCACTTTTACCATTCGCTGCAAATATGTCTCGGTATGTTCTAATGTACTAGTGTGGGCTACAAATATAATATAAACAAAAACGCAGACTTACTTTGCTCTGCTTTAAGCTTCTTGTAAAATGTCTCTCAACGTTCTATAGACGACTGTAGTCGTGCCGTCATTTTGTAGTCGGCGCCATGTTCTTATGCCCATATTAGGAACTCCGGGTCTAAGCTCCATTTCTCTATGGCCAGAATGAACAGGGTTTTCGAAAAATCACCTCTATCGCACACTGTGTTAAATAAAAATCTTCAGAACCCGATACGTTTTGTCCTATGTAATATTTTTCTCCCGAATAACACTGGATCCTCCGAATTACCAGGACGTAAAGAGCTATAATACTAATATTGCTACATGCGAGCTAAAGCTACTGCGCATCAATTTGATGTCACTAAGCTAACTTACACAAAACTAAGGCGGGCTGTGGCGGTGCTCTGACAAGCTGTGCTACCTTATCGAAATCTTCTACCGTAGCGCATATTCACGGGTATAACCATAAATAAACCCTCTAGGTAGGATATTTTGATAGGCTAAAACTCCTTATCAAAAATACTCCCCGTGTTAAAACTACGAGCCTGAATTTAGCTTCTTTTTTCGCAGCTACTTGATTGAATGTTCCCATTCCACCTTAAATGGTGCAGCAGCTGTGACTAGCTATCACAAATATTAGCAAGCAAGACAAAATACTGACCTGTTAGTTTGGCAAAACAGCAAAAATAAGTTAATGTTACTCAGCTGTTAAGCGTAAATAGTGGAACCTCCCCATATCATGCCTTTCAACCCTCTATGAAGCTGATTCAGCTTCTTCTTCGCCGGCTGCTTGTTCGAATCTTCCCGTTCTATCTTAAATGGTGCAGCAGTTCAGAACGTGACTGCTGCACCATTTGAGGTGGAATGGGAAAAGTCGAACAAAAAGCTGGTCCTGATGAGAAAATGTCTTCAGAAAATGTTACCAGCATTAAAATAATAATTAGGATATTCTGATAGCCTAAATCAGTTTATCGGGGGGTCAGCAGTGATATTAAGCTGAGTCTGTACTGGATTAGCCTGACTGCAGGTACATTTGTAGATCTTTTCATATCAAGCTGAAAGGAAAGATCTATTGTGTTTCAGTGAGCATCAGATGAAGAACAAAAGAACTGCAGGGAAACCTCCTGATTTTGTTCTGACTTCCTTTCATCTGCCCTCAGTCTGTACATGGAAATGTAAACCGCCAAAACCCGCTTAAGGAGACAGCCAGTCTAATGACGTGAATTAAGTGCACAGTAGCTTTAGCTCACATGTAGCAATATTCATATTTCAACTCTTTAATGACCTCGTAATCCAGAGGACCCAGTGGTTTTTGAGAGAAGAATGTTTACAGGACAAAACGTATCAGGTTCTGAACATTTTTATTTAACAGAGGGTGCGATAGAGGCGATTTTTCGAAAACCCTATTCATTCTGGCCCTAGAGAACTGGGGCTTAGACCCGAAGTTCCTAATATGGGCAGAACGAGGACTACAGAATGACGCACGACTACAGTAGTGTATTTTTTGCGAGGCTGAAGTCAGCGTCTCATTCGCCAGCTGGTTGTTCGAATTTTCCTGTTCCACCTTAAATGGTGCAGCAGTTACAATCTGGCACCTCAGGCACCATTTAAGGGGAACAGGTTTGATTTGGGACTGAACTCTTCTTTTAAAGAATGAGCTGCTAACCTCTGTAATCATGGGGAATCCCAGCACGTAGAAGGACACGCAGCACACCAGGGTGAAGATAGCTTTGTGTTTGCGCAGGTATTTGGGGAATTCGTCGGCCACTGAGGTCACTATCGTCTCAATTGTGGCAAACTGCAGGGAGAGAAAGAGAGTGAAGATATATGCTTAGTTTACAGTGTAGATCCAGGAAGGAAACCTTATATATTTATACATATACACAATTCCATTCATATAAAATCAATTTCTTTGAAGATGTGTGTATAAAATGATTCTATGATAAAACTAACTAACTTTCTTATGACTTTCAGATTCAAAAGTTTTGGATGATAAATGAAGCTGTAAGTGATTTCATGATAACTGAGAAATCTGTACTGAAATTACAAGCTTGACATTGTCACAATAGAGCAACCCTTTTTGATGCTATATAGAACCCTCTTTGAAAATGTTCTAAATAGAACCATCTACATCACATTCTCCATCAACCTTAAGGACCATTTCACCATGCAAATAACCATTTAAGCCTACACAGGATTCTTTCAGAGTTTATTGTTCTATATAGAGCTATTTTCTTTCCTAAAGAACACTTGAAGAACCTTCTTTTTTAAGAGTGTAATCCAAAATAATGACACTGTACTTTGGAGTTTTATGCAGTTGTGAAACACAATGGACCTCATTCACCTACTGTTTCTTTGACAGTAATTTAGTGCATAAAAAGTTTCTCCAGTTCTCCAAACAGAATGATTGCTGAATGTGGAGAGGGAGATCACACTTTTTCTCTGTTTTATCATTGTATGTGCACACTTTCCTGCTCATTATCATTCAGCTCTGTGAAGCTGTTAATAATTAAGAAAAGAGAGAAAAGCAGCACATTCACACGTTTCTGTTACGGACTCGTATTCTGGAGTGAAAAGAAATGCAGTGTGTTCACACACACACACACACACACACACACACAGGAGAATGAATTAACACCTCGACACTAATAGAGGCGCAAGACCCCAACAAACGCACACACACACACACTGAAATTAACAGCACAGGTTCATATCAGCAGGTCATAAGACTGCAAAACCATACAAATTAACAAACATGTATGAGCAGCAAATTAGCTGCACTATGTAAACAAATTATGGTAACACTTTATTTGGAATGGTCATTTGTAGATGATTAATATATTTTCTTATTATACTCTTACTCTTATAATTAAACTCCTTATATAACATATTCTGAATAACACATCAACAACAACAACACATCAGTGAAGATGTTCATACTGTTAATTCATTACCATTCCCATGTGCAATATAATCAATATTCCATGTGCAATTCAGGTATAATGTCCTTACAGTGTAATTTTTTTCTTGCCTTTTTATTTTTTAATGTTTATATTGTTAATTTTATGTGAAAAGAGTTTATGTGAAGGAACATGTTTATATTGTTTATCTTATATTTTTTATCTGTAGTGTAGTGTTATACCTCAACCCAAAACTTAATCCTAACCCTCACCCAGGCCCTAATCCTAATCCTAACCCTCATATGTTTTTGACATGTTACTGAGAGTTTGTTGAGTGTTTATTTCATCTAAAAGCATCACTCAAAATATAGTATCACATTTTTTTTTTGTTAAAAATGAAAGACACTACTTAGTCATTAGGAAAATATAAGAGTCACTGGGCCGGATTCCTAACACTACACTCACCTGCCACATTTATGCAACTACACTGGTTCTTCAAGGGTTCTTTAGCAAAGGGAATCCTTCTATATAGAACCATGAACACTCAAAAACCATGTGCATGCTTAAATGGTTCTCTGCATGGTAAAATCATTCTTCAGATTGATGGAGAACGTGTTGTATATGGTTCTATATAGAACCTTTTTGAAAAGGGTTCTATATAGCATCTAAAGGGGTTCTGCTACTGTAACGTTGTCAGAACCTTTATCAGAACCTTTTTTGGTGCTATATCGATCTACAACACATTCTTTGTTATGATAACAATCGTCATGTTTTGGAATAAGATTTGTTTTTTATCTGAGATGAACCAAACTGTGTAGTATATAACCACAACTCTAAAGCTAAGACAATTTAACACAAAAAATATTAAATATAGATCTGAATCTTGTCCTCAGAATTGAACATCATATTGATCCTAAAAAAGATGGGACAGCTTTACGTACCATGGTATCCAGCCCCAGAGTGAGGAGCATAAGGAAGAAGATGATCGCCCAAAATGGAGACACCGGCAACCTGGTGAGGGCTTCTGGGTAAACAACAAACGCAATGCCTGGTCCTACACACACACACACAAACATGCACGCACATTGTAAGACTGACACTTGCCATTTACAGAAGAGATCAGACAAACACTAAACTAACATTAAACAAACTCCATGTATGCTTTCAATATTTACCTGAAAATGTTAACAGAGTTAGAAGACAGAAAAAGAAAAATCCTTTCTTTACTGTAGAGAAATTACTGAGTCAGAATTGTTTACAGTGGTAGTGATAATAACCAGATGTCCACCTTTAAAAGTTCCCTCACAGAAAGTTATTACATGAAATGGTTATGAATTCACTCCTTGATGACTGACACATTGTTTTATGATAGTTTTGAGAACTAAAAATCCATTCATGGAGGAGGGATACATGCAGGAGGTGAAATAGTCATCATCATCATCATTGTCGTTAACCGCTTAGTCCAGCTAGGGTCGCAGTAGCAGTTGGGAGAGCAGAGAATCCCAGACGACCCTGTCCCCCGCAACTTCCTCCAGCTCATTCCTGGGAACCCCAAGCCGCTCCCAGGCCAACCTGGAGATATAATCCCTCCAGCGCGTCCTAGGACGACCCCGGGGTCTTGTCCCGGTAGGCCATGCCTGGTACACCCCCACTGGGAGGCGTCCAGGGGGCATCCGGATCAGATGCCCGAACCACCTCAGCTGGCTCCTCTCAATGCGGAGGAGTAGCGGCTCTACTCCGAGCTCCTCCCAGATGGCCGAGCTCCTCACCCTATCAAATAGAGTATAGCCCGCCACCCTGCGAAGAAAGCTCATTTCCGCCGCTTGTATTCACAATCTCATTCTTTCAGTCATTACCCATAGCTCATGACCATAGGTGAGGGTCAGGATGTAGACCGACCAGTAACCAGAGAGCTTCGCCTTACGGCTCAGCTCCCTCTTCACCACTACAGTCCGGTACAGCGACTGCATTACTGCTGCCGCCTGTCCCAGCCTGCGGTCGATCTCACGATCCCTCTTCCCATCACTCGTGAACAAGACCCCGAGATACTTAAACTCCTCCACCTGGGGCAAGTCCTTTCCCCCTACCTGGAGTGGGCATGCCATCCTTTTCCGGGCTAAGACCATGGACTCAGACTTGGAGGTGCTGATCCGCATACCAACCGCTTCACACTCAGCGGCAAACTGCTCCAGTGCGCGCTGGAGGCATCCATGTGATCCAGCCAAAAGAACAACATCGTCTGCAAATAGCAGAGACGCCACCCTTCGGCCTCCACACATAATGCCCTCCTGACCACGGCTACGCCTTGACACCCTGTCCATGAATATCACGAACAGGAGTGGAGACAGGGCACAACCCTGGTGGAGTCCAACGCTAACACTGAAAGAGTCCGACTTAATACTGAGTATACGAACACAGCTCTCACTCCGGGAGTACAGAGATTGAATGGCCCGGAGTAGCAGCCCCAGCACCCCATACTCCTGGAGGACCTCCCACAAGATATCTCGGGGAACACGGTCGTAAGCCTTCTCCAAATCCACAAAACACATGTAGACTGGGTTGGCAAATTCCCATGCCCCCTCAGCAATCCGTGAGAGGGTGAAAAGCTGGTCCATTGTTCCACGGCCAGGACGGAATCCGCATTGTTCCTCCTCAATCCGAGGTTCAACTATCGGTCGAAGTCTCCTTTCTAGCAGCTTGGCATAGACTTTCCCAGGGAGGCTGAGCAGTGTGATACATCAATAGTTGGCACACACCCTCTGGTCCCCTTTCTTAAAAATAGGGACCACCACCCCGGTCTGCCAGTCCAAGGGTACCGTTCCCAAGGTCCATGCAATATTGCAGAGGCGTGCCAGCCACGACAGCCCCACAATATGCAGAGCCTTAAGCATCTCCGGACGAACCTCATCCACCCCCGGTGCCTTGCCACTGAAGAGCTTGCCAACTACCTCAGTGACCTCCACCAGGGAAATGGAGCTTGACATGCCAGAAGCCCTGACTCCCGTGAGGGAGGCATATCTCCCAGATTAAGGAGTTCCTCAAAGTGCTCCTTCCACCGACCGACAATATCCTCATTTGAAGTCAGAGCTTCCCCACCCCTGCTGAATTCAGCTTGGGCGCAGCCACCCCGACTGCTCCTGAGTCGCCGGACAGTCGTCCAGAACCTTCTTGAGGCCGACCGAAAGTCTTTTTTTTTGCTTCTGCCACCGCTGCAGCTGCCACCTTTTTCGCCTGTCGGTACCTATCTGCTGAGTCGGTAGTCCTTCGGGCCATCCAGTCCCTAAAGGCCTCTTTCCTCAGCTTGACGGCCTCCCTCACCCCCGGTGTCCACCAGGGGGTTTTTGGGTTACCGCCCTGACAGGCACCAACAAGCTTTTGGCCACAGCTACACCTGGCAGCTTCCACAATGGAGGTTTTGAACAGGGTCCATTCAGACTCCATGTCTCCTACCTCCTGCCGGACATGAGAGAGCTCTCCCGGAGGTGGGAGTTTAAATCATTCCGAACAGGGGCCTCCGGCAGTCATTCCCAGCACACCCTCGCTATTCGCTTGGGCCTACCGGGTCTGACCATTAGTCTTCCCTGCCATCTGATCCAACTCACCACCAGGTGGTGATCAGTCGACAGCTCAGCACCCCTCTTCACCCGAGTGTCCAGAACATACGGTCCCGAGTAGATGAAACGACAACAAAGTCGATCATTGACCTTTCAGCCAAGGAGCTCTGGTACCACGTACACTTATGAACATCCTTGGGTTGGAACTTGGTGTTCGTTATGGACCATCCATGCCTGGCACAGAAGTCCAATAACAATTCACCATTCGGGCAGGCCATTCTTCCCAATCATGCCTCTCCAGTTCTCCCAGTCATTGCCAACATGAGCATTGAAGTCTCCCAGTAAGACTATGGAGTCTGTAGGCTGTTCCTGGATCGGGGCCCCTTCCTGGATCGGGGCCTTGTCGAGGCAGAAGGGCTTGTGTGGTCTAGGGATCTTCAGAGCTAAGTCGGCGGGAGCAGTATGCTCCTGGTAGGGTCTCCCAGGGCGAACAGGTCTGGAGTGAAGACCCAGACTAACTCGATCCAAAATCCTCTATGAAAAATGGACACGGACAATCGTGTACCCTGCCCGGGAGAGCCAGGCCTGGGGGTAGCGTCCCTAGGCGAGCACCTGGTGGCCGGGCAGCCCACGTAACCCGGCCGGGCTCAGCCCGATGAGGCAACGTGGGGGGACCATGTGGGCCCACCACCCTCAAGGTCCAGCATGGGGGAGCGGTGCAGTGCCGTATAGGCAGTGGGGGAATTGCGGGGGGGCCCCTGGTGGCCTAGGCCCCTGCAGCAGAAACTGGCTCTTGGTACGTGGAATGTAACCTCACTGGGGGGGAAGGAGCCGGAGCTTGTGCAGGAGGTTGAGAGGTACCAACTAGATATAGTTGGGCTCACCTCCACCCACAGTGTCGGCTCTGGAACCAAACTCCTTGATAGGGGTTGGTCCCTCTCCTACTCCGGGGTTGCACAGGGTGAGGTGAAATAGTCCCCAAAGAAAACTTATTATTTCAGATTTTCCACTATTTTCCCATCATCAACATTCCAAATAAACTAAGAAGACTCGTGTAGGTTCACTGGTGATTTTGAATAGTAAATAAAATATCTATATTTGTGTTGTAGTCATGGCGACTCCTGGTTCCTATCACCACCACTGTAAAGAAATCTGAACCATTTCAGACAAAACCACTCTGAATCACTCTGTTTACATCTCACACTCTCAATTATGCAGAATTATTTTTTAAATCAGTATTTCCTCTTCCACACTGTTCATAACAACTATCACATTCAAAAAGGCTGTTTAGTTTCTGTTTATGGATAACATGGATTGAGAAGTGAATGGTAATTTCATATAATATTGGTTCTTAAAGTGCCTATCCCATCAAAAACAGGATTTCTCTCTTTTTGAAATAAGAGTTTAATAAAGTACATAAACATTGCTAAAGTTTCAAAATGCGCTGCCCACCTCCCAGTCCATACAGCCCATATATGAAAATTAAGCTGCAAAAATAGCCTATTCTGAATTTGTTGTTTTTGTGATGTCATAGATCTGCCTATACAGTCTACAGCACTTTAGCTCCACCCATTCACATTGAAGTTTTTCAGTTCAGCCTTAAAGGCACAGTAACAAAAACAGCCTGTTTAATCTTAAGGGATAAAGAGGACGGAAAATGGTCAAAAATGAAATAACTTTTTTTTAATTATTTTTACATGATCATTTTCCAATTGTACTTAATCCCTTAGAATTGTTATTTGTGCCTTTAAAGGTAAATTCCAAATTTCTTGATATGGGTCCTTGAATTAACATTTTACAATGTTATTACACGTTGTGGTTAAGTGACCTACCTTCATCAGCTACACTCTCAATGGGCACCTTCAGCTCATGCGCCATGAAGCCAATGACTGAAAAAATGACAAAGCCAGCGAATATGCTGGTGGCGCTGTTGGTACACGTCACTATGATGGTGTCCCTGCAGAGAGGAAACTAGAATTAATGGAGCCGCCCTACTTTAAAATTACAACATTATACCAGCATCTACTATTAAATCACTAATGTTCATCAGAGCTAATAACATACATTATTAGTCCAGTAATAACAACATTACTACACCCTTAAAAAAGATGGTTCTCTAGTAAAGACAATGTTCTATGTAGAGCCATGAACACTCAAAGGACCTTTTGCATGATGAAAGGGTTCTTTGCATCATGAAATGGATCCTCAGATTGATGGAGATTGTGCTGTATATGGTTCAATATAGAACCTTTTTGAAAATGGTTCAATATAGCACCCAAAAGTCTTCTTCTATTGTTACAATGTCAAGCTTATAACAACAGAAGAACCCTTTTGGCTGCTATATAGAACCCTTTTCAAAAAGGAGCTATAGAGAACTGTCCATAGCACATTTAAGGACATTGTCCATCAATCCAAAGAACCCTATCTTAATGGTCTATATAGAACAATTTTCTTTACTAAAGAACCCTGAAAGCACCATATTTTTCAAAAAGGTTCTATATAGAACCACACACAACACATTCTTTGTTCATCTGAAGAACCATTTCACCATGCAGAGAACCATTTAAGCATGCATAGGGTTCTTGGAGTGTTCATGTTTTTATATACAACCACTCTCTTCACTAAAGATCCCTTGAAGAACCATTTTTTTAAGAGTGTAGAGAAAATGAAGTAAGGGCTTTCTGATCATATGCATTATTTGTGTATTTTCTTTGTTTTATCCATATATATTTATAAATTATTTTGTTTTTTAATGCTTAGTACCCGAATAGAGGATTAGATAACATCCTAGTAGATCCTGTTGTGATTCTGGGTGTTATTTTGTGCACATTATCATGTTTTATTTTGACTTTTAGTGTTCAGTGAGAACTGAATTTGTAAAGCTGAATTTGTGCTGAATCAGCAGTTGCAGATCACTTGGTAATATTTTATAACTAAGTTACAGTCAAAAATATAACAAGTGATGGCTACTTTCACGCTTAGGCATCACAGGGTTAATTAAATGACGTCAGTGTCAGATGCAAACATGTGGGCTGAATCTAAAGCTGATAAAGGTGTAAAGGTATTTTTACCTGTAACAGTTATTATGGAACTTATTATAGGAGGAGAGAGTTATTAGACCGCCCCACGCTGCAGACAGAGAGAAAAAGATCTGAGTGGCAGCATCTTTCCACACCTAGAGAGAGGGAGAGAAAAGGAGAGAGAGAGATCAAGGGAGAGAGCGTTAATAAAGCGATACATTAATGCGTACCTTAAAAAGAAAATTATTAACCCTAAGAAGTTAGTTATGGACAGTAAAGCATGCTGCAATTTAAAATGAGCAGAGAAACTGTGTGGAAAGTGCAGATTCTAAACTTTCAATCCAGAACACATTAGTGCAAATTTTATTATGATTGGAATTTGAAGGAAAATTATAGTTATGTACACAGTCTTTCTACAGAGTGAAAATGCAATGGAAATGCAATTTATGGTGTAGCTATAGATCTAATTACATTTAAAGTAACACTATTTAGAATTTGGGGATTTGGACCTCTCTGGTGGAAATGTGTAATTGCATGCAACGGCAGAAGAACATTTTATGACACTGGTTGTGCTTTGAAGAGAAAACTCTTCCGAGGATGTGAGTGAATCATCTACTATTGTCATCATATCTTCATCAGAATAATGTTGATTTGAGATCATTTGAGACCTAAACATTGAGCCAGACCTTCTTTTTGAGACTGTGTGTGTGACGTTGATACGTAAAGACGTACGACATGGTGTGAAAAACTTGATGCCTCGGACTTTTAAATGATTATTTCAGGCTTTACAGGTGTCTCGCAGCAGCGCACGCTCACTATATTTTAGTGTGTTCTTTTTTTCTCCTCACACACTTTCAATTGTAACAACAAAATATTACCCAGTGCTGCTTTAAATAATGTAAATCAAAGTGAAATTACAGTAGCAACTCCAGATTGAACTGAACTTGATCACTGTCAGTTCACTCACTAAACAGCTCTGTCTCTTACTTTGGCATCGTTGAGTTTCTCCCATTTTGGAGTGATAAAGTAGAGGATGCCTGAACCGGCGCCAGGCAGAGTGACACCACGGATCAGCAGGATGACCAAAACCACGTAAGGGAAAGTGGCTGTGAAATACACCACCTGCAGACAGAGCAAAGACAAGGAGAATGTTATGAAACTATCAGTTTCACTGCATAGTCAGAAATAGCAGAGTTTACATTGCTGCTTTGCATTGCCCAGTATTTCACAGTGTGCTGCCATTTTGTCACTGTTTTTTAGTGTGGTGTCTACACTGTTTATTAGGGCTACGCGATAAATCATATTTTTATCGTCATTGCAATATGAATTTCTGCGATGGACTGGCAACCTGTCCAGGGTGTATCCTGCCTCTTGCCCAATGACAGCTGGGATAGGCTCCAGCACCCCACCGCGACCCAGAAGGATAAGCGGTTTAGATGATGTATGTATGTATGTATGCAATATGAATTTCTGCGATAAACACATCATAAAGAGTGAGGATGACAGAACAAATGTCCTCATACACACAGCACCAGAGAGACATCATTACATTACAAACCATCAGAAGTCTAATGAAAGCTTCTCTGAGCTGAGACTGAACACTGTGCACCTACACTGTTAGAAATAAAGGTTCTGTGCAGGTACATTTTACGTTCATTAATGTACAAACAGTGTAAATGTTCCCTTAAAGGTACAACAGTAGTTTTAATGTCCAATTCTATACCTTAAATAAGTTTTTCCAGGTGAAAAGTACATATTAGTACCTTTTCATGATCTAAAGTTTTAAAACAGAACAATACAATAAAAAAGCCTGGAGACGAGACGGGGTGTGTAGAGTCAATACAACTTAGAAAATATATTTCAATGGATTATGGTACAGTTATGTTCCTTGACTAAAGGTACTGAGATGGACCCTTGAGGGTCCCACCCCAGTGGCAAGGGGGTATTGCCCCAGCGACAGTTTAGTACCTTTTTTCTGAGAGTGTATGTGGGGGATGAGTAACTTAACCACTAGGCTATACAGCCAATTACAAAACACACACAGCAGCTCAAACACTCCTCCATCCTGAACTGCATGCCTGTAAAAGCACATCAAGCATTAGGATTGATCTCACACACAGAGTGTTGTATTTTTGAGTGTGTGAGGCAGTAATATTACTGTCACAATAAATATATTTAATGACTAAACAAAAAGAAATAATAAAAAAAACAAACTAACAAACAAATAAACAAAAATGGTCTGATGTGAACAGCTTTTAGCATTTCATTTCTTTTTATTTTGTACAATAGCAAACGGTGCTTTTGTAATTTGCTAAAAAATGTCTGTACTTGCATCACATCCAGTCAGAGGTGCACAATTTTAATAAAAATGTATCACTTCTCATGTAATCATTGTGAAATCCAACAGCATTACTAAACATCCATTTTCATGTTAATATCGTGCAGCCCTACTGTTTATATTGTTATGTGTAAGGATGCACCAATCCCTGACACAGATCTTCTCTCATGATACCAATTCTGATCTCTAAATTAAAATCTGAATGGGAAAGTTATAAAGCTGAACATGATGGTGGGATTACAGTTACAATAAAAAAAGCAAATTGGCTTGTTGGTAAAAAGCAAAAGGCAAGTTTTTTATAGAACACCTTTCATACACTGCTGTCATTCAAAGTGCTTCATTTGAAAAAGTAAAGGAGAATAGAAAGTGAAAACATGATTAAAACATGATTAAAACAATAGATTTTTTAATGATTTTTTTAATGATGAAAATCATTCAATTAAAAATCTAATTAGAAATTAGTGCCGTCACAGAGGAAAACAGTCTAGAAACGTTAACAGTGTTTAAACTGAGCTGAAAGCTGCACTAATAGGAACGTTTTCAGGCCACATTTTAAAATGTCCAGTGTCGAGGCTCCTCTAATGCTCTCTGTCAACTGGGTTCATTTAAGAGCAGCACAGTAGCTAAACGCTGCTTTTCCATGTTTAGTGTTCACCTTCGGCAGGACTAACTGACCAGTTCCTAATGATCTGAGAGTTCTGCTCAGCTCATATCGCTGCAGCAGATCAGATAAATACACTGCTCCAGCACCATTAAGACCTTTATAGAGCAGTAACAGCACTGCAAAGTCTAATCTATAGGAAAGAGAGAAAAGCCCTCACAGTAGCCACAACAACCTGAAAATACATTTTTTGTGTTATTTAAGCCAAACGCAACAAACTATTATGCTGTCTTTGTCTGATTTCACTAGTGATTTCTGAAACATTAGTCTAGCTATCAGTTTGGGGTTTATAGTTCTTTCCCTATTCTGAGAGACAGGTGCCTGGTCTGTATATGTTGTAGATGGTTCCATGAAGAACCTTTCTGAAAAGGGCTCTATATAGCACCCAAAAGGCTCCTATTGTGACAAGCTTGACATCTTAACAATAGAAGAACCCGTTTGGGTGCTATGTATAACCCTTTTCAAAAAGGTTCTATATTGAACCGTACATAGCACATTCTGAAGAACCCTTTCATGACGCAAAGAACCATTTAACCATGTCAAGTGTTCTTTGAGTGTTCATTGTTCTTTATAGAACCTTTTTTTTAACTAACGAACCCTTGAAGAACCATGTGTTTTAAGAGTGTAAGAGAAGATCTGGTTTGCATTAGCTTAGCTAGTATACTAAAAGCTCTGCTCACCACAGAACATGTTGGGTTCTAGCTCTAACTAAAGCTTCGACACAAGTTTAGATGATAATAAAAAACCTTAAACCTGTTCTGCGGTGATCAACTAACTTAGTGTTAGCTTAGCGAGCAGCTACAGACCCAAACAGAGCCACACACCACAGTACATGTTTGATTCTGACTAAAAACAAGTGCAGATGATGAACACTAATGTACGAGAGTGTAAAAATGGAGTGAGAGACAGAAAGCCGAACTCAAACCTGTTCTGTGGTGTTTGGGACTGTAGCATTTTGGCTAAGCTAACTTAGCTTAGTTAGTAGGCTTCCAGCTAACTGAAGCTAAAATGAGGCCCGTTTGGAGGATGTCTGAGAGGTCAGAGTGGAGTGGCTGGTGTTGGAGTGAAAGCTAAGCGTGTTTTGTGGTCAGTGGAGCTCTTATCCGCCGCTGAGCCACTATTATGTTTAGCTTTTCAAGGTTTTTCCAGCCTCTGATTTTCCCCTCTTTCTATCAGGGCAATGTATCAGTGAGCTCTAACCACCAATCAATCACCCTCTAAATATATAAATGAGTGGAAAGTGTTTATTTAGCCATTCATACAAGCAACAGCATTTAGCGTCATCATTATTAAAAACAGTTGCATACCTGATCAGTGAGAACAACAAAAAATGCTCTTGGTTTATTGAGAATAAGGCTGAATTGAACTGAATTGGAGAAAATATCTATCTCTCTGCAAATTAGACAGAAACAAATTAGCTCATTCATGCCTCCAAACTCAGTCCAGCTTGTAAGCGGCATGATATATGCCCAGTCGTCAGATTTGGGTTAACACTCAGCACAAACCGAGCACAGTTCAACCTTAGTATACCAGCCAGAATGAATGATTCGCTTTAACATGAACAGCTCGGTTCTTTCAAATGTGCAGAGATCCCAAGAGCGCTAAACAGCTGCCAGAGAAGAATATGCTACACTACACTGTCAGTACAAACATTCTATGCAGGCAAAGTTTTCATTCATTAACGTACAAACAGCATAAATGTACGTACAGTAGTGGTTTTAACGTCCAATTGTGTACCTTAAATAAGATTTCCCCAGGTGAAAAGTACGTATTTGTGCCTTTTCATAACTTAGTGCTTAAAATAGAACAATAAAATAAAAAGCCAGGAGTCACAATGGAGTGCGTTGAGTCAATGCACTTTAGAAATATAATTTCAATGGATTAGGGTACAGTAATGTTCCTTAACTAAAGGTACAGAGATGTACCCTTGAGGGTTCACAGTTTGGTACCTTTTTCTCTGAGTGCATCACAGTAAACCCAATGAAAGTGTTCTTTTATCAGCCAGCTTTACATAACTCACAACTGTACCAACTGAACTCCTAATATTCAGTCAATATCACTGCTTTCATTACTTTATTCAGTTAATGGACCGCTGATGTTTTTAATCACAGACAATATGTTTCAATGCATTTCTGACTAAAAGCGCACTTGAGTCACAAAGCAGAGTTCTATTCTAATTCATACAGAGTTGAACATACAGTAACATCAAGATTTTTAAAAGGAGCTTCGCTGACTTCAGATCAGGGCTGATTTGGGAACAACATTTATTTGTGTGTGTGTGTGTTTTTTTTTTTTTTAACCAATACTGTGAGTGTGATTTAAATTGCGACTATTTTCTATAAATTAAGGTCCAGGCCTGTTATTTTGGCCAAGAAGTCCAGAATATCCTCCTTTTTCTGGCTTGAGGCTTTAACGCTTGAAACAGTATTACTGACCACCAGTTATTTGTGGTTGTGAAGTCACAGTTGCTTCTGATTTCTGATTGGTCTAGTTAATCTGCAGGCAGTTTTAAAGCTCCATGTGATTAGGTTAAATTTCCCCACTTAAAACTCAAGCCATTTTTTTTTCTTGAAAAGCGTTCTGTACAGAACCAAAAAGGGTTCTTCTATTGTTACAGTCCTAACATTGCAACAATAGAAGAACCCTTTTGGGTGCTATTTAGAATCCTTTTCAAAAAGGTTGTCTATATAACCATTTTAAGATGCAAAGAACCATTTCCCACACACATACACGAACATGCACACAGACACACGCACACACACACTTTCTAAGCCACTTTATCCTTCTGGGTCGCAGGGGGAGCTGGAGCCTATCCCAGTGGTCATTGGGTGAAGGCAGGAAACACCCTGGACAGGTACCATTTATCAAACTATAATCTCTCTATAATGTACACTCATAAAAGTATGGTTCTTCAAAGGTTATTTAGTAAAGAACATGGTTCTATAAAGAACGATGAACACTCAAAGAACCCTTTGCATGATTAAATGGCTCTCTATATCATAAAATCGGTTCTTAAGAATGTGCTGTAGATGGTTCTATGTAGAACCTTTTTGAAATGGGTTCTACATAGCACCCAAAAGTGTTCTTCTTTTATTATGACATCGACCTTGCAACAATAGAAGAACCCTTTTGGGTGCTATATAAACCCTTCTCAAAAAGGTAGCACATTCTCCATCAATCTGAAGAACCCTTTCATGATGCAAAGAACCATTTAATCATGCAAAGACTTCTTTGAGTGTTCATGGTTCTTCATTGAACCATTTTCTTTACTAAAGAACCCTTGTGGAACCATCTATTTTAAGAGAATAGTACAAAGTCTACCCCATCCAGGAGCAGAGTGGAGAAACACTGCAGTAATAGATACCGCCTGCAATAACTTGTGACCGCCACTAGGTGGAAACAAATCCTTCAGAATGAACCTTTCAACTGACAGCGCAGCGCATTGCTGATCTCACAGTAATAAACACCCAAAGGAGAAGAAAAGAAGACTCACAATCAGCCTCAGAGCTTCTTACCTTGCCCGACGACTTGATTCCTTTAGCTAAAGACGCGTAGACAATGAGCCACGCGAGAAAAAGGCACGCGGCCAGGGGCCAGCGGATATCCCCAGGGTATTCAATCCCTTTAGAAATGTGCAGCACGTTATATCTAACAAAAAAGAACAGAAAGTGATCAGAGAGGCTTCGTGTACAGAAAACGGCACCAAATATGCACAATCAGAAACGCAAATAGTTCCATGTGTCTAACTTAATTATACCTCCTTTTCCATCCAAACAAATACAGCAGAGTCAGCATATGCACACTTCATTACACTCTTTAAAAAGATGGTTCTGCAAGGGTTCGTTAGTAAACGGAGTGGTTCAATTTGGAGACATGAGTTCTATATAGAACTTGATATAGAAATTTGCATACCTAAATGTTTCTCTGCATGGTGAAATGGTTCTTCAACTTGATAGAGAGTTCTATATAGCACAAAAGGGTTCTGCTGCTATTGTTTTCAGATGTCAAGCTTGTAACCACTTCCAAAAAGATTCTATACAGAACCACATACAACACTCTGAAGAACCATTTTGCCATGCAAATAACCATTTAATAAACAAAAATGGGCCTATGTAAGACTCATGGTTCTCAATAGAACAATTGCCTTTATTAAAGAGCCCATGAAAAACCATGTTTTTAAAGAGTGTACCGTAACAGAAAATGCAAAATGCAACAATTAACGCTGACATATTTCTGGTAATATAATCTAATAAATATATATATATATATATATATATATATATATATATATATATATATATACACGCACACACATACATTACAATAAAATAGCACAAAAACTCACTTGAAATACTCTTCACTGGGGCTGACATAGCTTCTGTTATCTGTTGTGATATTTAATAACTTGCTCAAATTCCCAACAGCGTTTGCAGACAAACAGAATGTGGTGTTTTTAACGGAGCTAACGTTCCTATCCCGAATTATACATGAATCTGTCAGAGAGGAAAACACAACAATGGGAGCCAACAGACACTTTTACACACTGTAACAGCAAATCATTGTAAAAGTAAATCATGATTATGATATAAACATTACAAAAAATAGAAATGTCAAAAAGGTGCCCTGTTGTTGGACATGAGTAATAAATATTTGAATGGTTATTTACTGAATACAATGCATTAAATTGACTAACGCTATCGAAAAAGCATAATAATCGTATTTTCCTATGTTATTTATATTATATATCCCATATTATTTGCCCAGTGTTCGAGGTTTGTCAGCGTTTTTTTTTTTTTTTTTTTGCGGCAGTTCATTTGAGGCTGCAGTTCGCACTCCGGCCACACGATGTCGCCTCACTGCGGCACTGCAGCGCTTTACAGTAAATCTGTCAAGCAAGCAGATTTTCTGCTGAATTCACTAAAACAGAATCGTCGAATAAAACGCGTTTTGAAGCCAGAAACACAATTAATTTCGACATTTTATCGATGCAGAAACATTCAGGAGAGTCAGGAGGGACATTCTGCAAATCCTAAGACTCGTTTTATCAACCAAACACGACAAAAGTGATCATTATAATCATGATTAATGACTCTCAGGCAGCATTTCACAACCTGAATAAAGAGTACAGACACTGTTTATACATTAACGATCAAATATATTAGCATTACAAACAAAATAACACATTTCATCATGTAATATCACAGTTATATAGTTAAGAACACGGTGTAAACAATTTTGTGTAAAACGTAGTGTAAAACGTACTGAATATCACTAAATGTGTTAAATAAAGCTTTAAAGAAGCTCCAGCAAAAAAGAAAAGAATGCAGTGTTAAAGGAGAGCAAATGAAGCTATTCAGGAGCAGACAGCTCACTGCAGAAGAATAAATCCCCCAGAAACTAAAAAACTAAAAACCTGCATCAGAGAGAGAGAGAGAGAGAGAGAGAGAGAGAGAAAGAGAGTGGCGCATTGCGCATGGAGGGGGGGATGGAGGGGTAAATAGGAAGGTAGAGGAGTGTATATGCAGATAGAGGGACAAATAGAGGGATTTATGGCTTGATAAGGTAGACTGATAAATGGAGCGATACTCAAAAGGAAAGAGACAAATAAAGGATTAATAAGAAAGAGATAAATAGAGAGCTCTACCTAAGTTGCAGAATGTGCTGGATTAAACAGATAGAGTGATAGAGATGAAGTGATAAATAGAGGGACGATTCCTACCCTGTCTTAGCATGTGCTGGTCTCTAATAGAGGGAAGGAGGGATGAACGGAGAGATAGATAAAGAGATGGATAGATGATTTCAGTACGTTCTGATCTTCTGTAGAAGGTTAGAAGAATGGAGGGATGAATAGAGTGATGATTAAAGGAAAGCCCTACCCAGTTTCAGCATGTGCTGGTGTTCGATGGAGGAATAAAGGGATGGAGTGATACATAGAGATACATTTCAAACAGTTAAAAAATTTGTTTGTTAAAAAATTTTGATTGTTAATTGAAAAAAAAAATGGATGGAGGGATAGATGGCAGGATAGAGTGATAAGTAAAGAATAATGGAATAGAGAGATGCATAGACAGATGAATAGATGGATAGAGGGATAGATGAATAGATAGAGCAATACGTAAAGAATTAAGGAATAGAGAGATGGATAGATGGATGAATAGATGGATGGAGGGATGGATAACGCGATAAGTAAAGAATAAAAGGACAGAGAGATGGATAGACAGATGAATAGATGGATGGAGGAATAGATGCATAGAGCAATAAGTAAAGAATAAAGGTATAGAGAAATGGATAGACAGGTGAACAGACAGATAGATGGATAGACAGAGTGATAAGTAAAGAAAAAGGGAATAGAGAGATGGATAAACAGATGAATAAATGGATGGAGGGATAAATAGAGTGATAGAGGGGTGGCCTACTCAGTTCCATGTTCTGGTCTTTAAACGAGGAATAGAATGATAGAGTGATAGAGGGATAAAAAGAGGGGGTTAAATTCCCATCCAAGAGTTTCAAAATGTGCAGATGTTTGATAGAAGGATGGAGAGATAAATAGAGTAATAAAAAGAAGGAGTTCATACACAGTTTCAGAATGTTGTCTAGTCTTTGTTCAAAAGACGGAGAGATGTGCGAATGTTCAATAGAAGTATAGTGAGAAGTAGGGATAAGTAGAAAGAGAAACAGCATGTTTGGATATTTTATAAAGTGATAGAAGTATGGAGTGATAGCTAAACCAATAAGTCTCTCAGTGTGTGCTTGTCTTTGATGAAGGTTCAGAGGGACAGAGGGATGAACAGAGGGATAAATAAACGGACGTCCTACCCAGTTTCAGCATGTGCTGGTCTTTGCACTCGGCTGTGTTCCAGCTGTTGTTGCAGAAGGTCCAGGGCAGAAAGTCCTTCAACGAAGCGAACGAAGCGAACAGGTAGTACAGTGTCCAGCACATGATTATATTATAGTATATGGCTATCAACACAGAAATAATCAACATGGCAATCCCGCAACCTACAATAAATAAACCAGAATAGACAACAGCATTACTAACGCACGGAGACAGAGACGCTCACTCACAAAAACACACATCATGTAGAGAAATGAGGAGAGGCTAGGGCAGATGTAGGGACAGGTGTGGGGACAGGTCTGGGACAGATGTGAAGCCATTTTTGGGGCAGGTGTGAACATGGGTTTGGGACAAGTGTGGGGACAGGTTTTGGACAGATGTGGGGACAGATTTGGGGCTGGTTTGGAGACAGGTTTGGGACAGATGTGGAGAAAGACTTGGGGCAGGTATGGAGATGGGTTTGGAACAAGTGTGGGGACAGGTTTTGGACAGATGTGGGGACAGATTTGGGGCAGAAGTGGGACAAATGTGGGGACAGGTTTCGGACAATGTGGGGACAGATTTGGGGCAGGTGTGAGGAAATGGACAAGTTTCTGGACAGGTGTGGGACAGCTGTGGTGACAGATTTGGGGCAGGTGTGCAGATGGGTTTGGGAAAAATGTGGAGACGGGTTTGGGATAAGTGTGGGGACAGGTTTGTAAAAAGTATGGGGACAGGTTTGGGATAAGTGGGGGGCAGGTTTGGGACAGCTGTGGGGACAGGTGTGGTATCAGGCTTGGGAGAAGTGTGGGGACAGGTTGGGGACACATTTGGGAACAGATTTGGGACAAGTGTGAGGACAGGTTTGGGATAGATGTGGGGACAGGTTTGAGGTCTGAGGCCTGGGGCAGGTGGTGGGGCCAGTTTGGGGGAGATGTGGAGCAGGGCTGGGGCAGCGTGTAGGGAGGGTTGGGGCAGGTTGGGGGCAGGTTTGGGGGAGATGTGGAGCAGGGCTTGGGCAGTGTGTAGGGTAGGGTTGGGGGCAGGTTGTAGGGCAGGTTTGGGGGAGATGTGGAGCAGGGCTTGAGCAGTGTGCAGAGAGCATTGGAGACAGGTTGGGGGCAGGTTTGGGGGAGATGTGGAGCAGGGCTGGGGCAGTGTGGAGGGAGCATTGGGGACAGGTTGGGGGCAGGTTTGGGGGGATGTGGAGCAGGGCTGGGGCAGTGTGGAGGGAGCATTGGGGACAGGTTGGGGGCAAGTTTGTGGGAGATGTGAAGCAGGGCTGGGGCAGTGTGGAGGCAGGGTTGGGGACAGGTTTACCTTGCAAAGCA